AGTCAATATAAAAGGTTACCATTCTTTTTATTATTCAGTTACTAATATAAAAAAAATATTTAGTCATTCCTGATGAGTCATTACTGAAGTTATCATGCGTTGATAAACACGTGGTGATGAAAGCAAAATATAATAATGATGCACGAGGTTGGTGTCAGGGATATAAAATATTAGTAGTGTAAAATCAATGATGGTTCTATTTAGAATGTTTTGGCTTGAGATGTATGCCAAGCAGATACGCAGCTATGGAGCCAAATTATTGATCACACAAATTTATGCTAAAATTACTGTTTCTTCAATAACAAGGTATTTTATTTACTGCTGAAGTGAAATTAAGAATCAAAACTCTCCACATGTGTTATTGGGAGGGGATCAAGAAAACACGCGTAAAGCATACAGAATAACAACAACAACAACAACAAAACAAAGGTTGGTAGTGGCTTTGAGGTCTGGATTTTAGATCATTCCGGATCTGTGACTTTGTACTGTACTAATATGTTTGTATGGATGGACTAACTGTCAGTTAGACATGAAAAATGCATATTTATATGCAAAGCTCAATAAGAAAATATATATGATCCATCCAGAGGGATTTCTTCAAGAGAAAAATAAAGTGTGTTTATTACACAGGACCATTTATGGTCTACATCAAAGCAGCCATGAATGGTTTTGTGAATTTTAAAATACTTTAGAAAATCTAGATGTTAAGAAAATACTATGGTGCAACTGTGTTTATAAAAGCTCTAGTGTAATCCTCTTGTTATATGTACATGATATTGTAATCTTTAGTAAAGATCAACAGTGTATAGATAAAGTAATATCACAGTTGGGTAAGTTTTCCGGTCTTAAAGTATTAAGCAGAACTATTTAGGTCTTACAGTATTAGAACAGAAAAGTACTTGGAATCGAATTTTTAGAAAATGACAAGGGCTCTTTGATACATCACCAAAAATACATCGAAGAAATTTTTGAAAAATGTAAACATTTTCAGATACCAATAACTTCACGTCTCATAGCTAATAGCACTATTCTTACAAAATTAGATTGTCTGTCTACAAGTGCAGAAATTGCTGAAACATGAAAATTGCCCTTTATAAATCTATTGGGATGTTTAATTTTTGTAGCTAATAGGACAAGGCCTAATATTACATATGCAGTGAATATCTTATCACAATTTCAGGAGAATCCTGGAATTAGGCATTGGGAAGCATTGTTGAAATTGCTTGGTTATCTCAACAGTACTAAATTATATAAGTTAAACTTATCAAAGATTAAACATCTAAATGTATATTGTTATTCAGATGCTGGTTATGCAAGTATCAGGGATGACCGTGTGAAGCTGGGTGGAATCATATTGTAGTTGGATGAAGTACTGGTAATTTGGAAAACATTTAAACAAAAATGTGTAAGTTTTTCTACCATGGAAGCAGAGTATACTGGTGTGCAAAAATTAAGGACAAGATGGTTTTTTCAATATAACTTTGTACAAAAGCTTTCCAAATCAACACATTTAATACCGTAAGATCCCCAATACGTAAGGACATGAGTAATGTAAGCAACACTTACTAAAAGAGAAATCAGAGGGATAAAAAGAAGCTTTATTGAAAAAGTAGCATGGAGCGCAATGCGACTGAAGGCTGAAACATCCCTGCGATGGGTGTCCAGCAAGAAACATCTGGTCTTTAATAGGGCATATGATCTCCCCTGACTGCTAGGCAGGTTTCACAGCGTCTGCCCATGCTGAGAATGAGGGTGTCCATGAGTTGTTGAGGCATTGCTGCCCATTCGTCTTGCAGCGCCAATCGAAGCTCTGGAATCGTTACTGGTGGTAAGGTACGAGCTGCCATCCATCTGCCTAGAAAATCCCATACATGCTCGATGGGATTCAGATCCAGAGATCGTGCCGGCCAATCCATACGTTCAATATCCTCACTCTCTAAGAGCTGTTCGGCAGCTACTGTGCGATGACATGGTGCATTGTCGTCCATGAAAAGGAACTGCGGACCCATAGCGCCACTAAAAAGACGCACATATGGAAGAAGAATCTCGTTACAATAACGGGTCCTGTTGACTGAACCTGCGTCGAAGATGTGAAGGTCTGTACGACTACCAAGTATGATGCCTCCCCAAACAAGAACACCGCGACCTCCATACCTGTTCCTTTCAATGATGTTGGAGGGATGATTGCGGCTTCCCCGCTCTCTCCAGATGAGTATGCGATGAGAATTGCTACTCATACTGAATCTGCTCTTATCTGTAAAAAGTACTCGTCCCCATTCATCGTCTCTCCAATTCCGGCGTTCCCGGCACTACAGACAACGCCTTTTCCGATGGGCAGGCGTTAGAGGTACACACCATACAGGGCGTTCTGCAAACAGACCACCACCGTGCAGTCTTCTGGCCACGGTAAAACACGATATCGGTCGTCCAGTCGCCTGTGTCTATCGATTTCTCCCGCTGTCTGCCGCCTGTTTCTTCTGGCCTGTAAGGCAATTTACCAGTCATCTGTGGGTGTGGTTCCTCGTGGACGACCACTACTAAACCCCCGGATAGCTGTTCCTGTAGTTTGAAATTGTCTCCAAAGTCGTGAAACGATGCTGTGAGCAATTCCGAACTCTGCAGCCACACTTGTCACACTGCGGCCTTCCTGCAACTTCCCAATGGACTTCGAGTAAAAGCATCCAGATGTCGTCTAACAGATTGATTATTCGCCCTTTCTCGCTGAGGCAGCAACTCGGTGTGATTTTAACTGCTATACGGCATGCAATCTCTTTGCCAGAAATACTGATCTTACACCGACAACATGCTTTACACTACTCAGACACTCCCCCATTACGTCTACCTGCATATCTGTGCATGTGCTACCGTACATCACCTTACTTAACCTCCTGATTGGTCTTTCTGTCCACTCTGCCTCTTCGTTCAGCTGATATGCTAATTTTTCGACTTCGTCCTTAATTTTTGCACACCAGTGTATATTGCCTTATCGGAAGTTGGAAAGGAATTGATGTGGATGAAAAATGTCTTACAAGATGAAGTTCTGAAGTTCAATTTGAAAGAATGTGAACTATTTTGCAATAACACATCTGCCATTGATTTTTCTAAATCACAAAACAGAAAACTATCAGAATAAGCACATTGACGTATGATGAAGAAGACTGCTGAATGATGGGATGTTTGACCTCGAATTCATCCCCACCAAATTAAATAATGCGGACTTACTATTTAAGAAAATTGTAACTGCTATAAACGTGAAAAAGCTTTGTTTAACTGTTTATAGTATTTAAGGACAATAATTATTGTGTCCATATTATAGAATCAAAGTATGAATTTTGTTAAATTCTCTGTAAAGTTCCCCCCCCCCATGAGAGGAAATGAGGGCTGCTATTAACTTAATTTTCTGTTGATTTCCTCATGCAAATTAGTTCAGAGGTCAATTAGCAATAAATTAACATGGTTACCGCTGATTGGCCAATGTTGTGTATATATATACAGAGATCGTGAATGCAAAGAAGTTCGCTGGTTTTCTTTTGTATTTTGTTGTTTTTAACGTAAATGCTACTGTTACAAACTAGTTTATTTTATGAAATAAAGATTAAAAGATAAAGATTAGATTTTATGAAATAAAGATTAGTTTTATTTTTATATTAGTCCCAACATTTATTTAAACGAGGCAAAGTATGCTTTTGCAACTGCTCCAATGCCAACAGTGATGAGTCAGTCCAGAATTTTGTCCTTGTGTTGATGTTTGATTAGATTAGTGCAGGCCCGAACATGTCTGTCCTTATCTGCTCGAGTCAGCTCATATGGCACACAGTGATTGAACTTGCATGTCAAGTTTATGCAATGAACAGCGTGACTAATGGACATGGCACTCATGTCTAACTCATTAGCAAGCTCTCGAAAACAGTTGCATACTGATCTTATTCTACAAGTTCTTGCAAACAGGCCTTATCAACATCAGTAGGGTGGCCAGAGTGCTGTTTTTCTTGAAAATCAAAGTCCTTGTTTTTGAACTTTTGGTACAAAATCTTCACAGTGTCATATGATGCATTAGAAATGGAAATAAATGATGATTCTAATCTGGTAGCATTGATATTTCCATTTCGGACATCTTGTACTTAATGATAACGAAATTTTTTTACAAATTTCACAACACAGTGTTCTAAAACAAGTCTCTTTCTTTCAAATACCAAAAATTATTTGACAAAATATGATTAAACATGCCAAAGTTAACTATTTATAGAGACCATATTTGCGGTGGCGGGAAACTTTTGTTAAAACCTGATAAACATTTGCAATCATTTATTGCTTGCTGTTACATTCATTTAGTGATAAACAAAATTCCTTTTTGAGCTTCCTTAAATTATATTTATAGAGTAGTTCTTTCTATATGACAAAGGAAAAAAAAAAAAAAAATGTTCTACAGGTGAAGAACTTTGAGAACCACTGTTGTACATTATAATGTAAAACCAGATAATTAATCATACTAAAAACAATTAAGGATTATTTGCTCTTCTGTAGAAGGCTTTCTGAAGGAAATGATTTTATATATATCCTTATTATATATGAAGAAAACTATGAAAAATCTCCAATCTTTATTTTCACAAAATCTATCCAAAATATGTCAATCTATTTGGTCCATCTACATCCAAATGTGTCAATCCAAAATTTACAATCTATTTAGCTCATGTATAACTCAAAATGGCTACTTAAAAATTTTGCTGACAACTGCAATCATTCATATGGCTTGGCTCACAAACAGAAAAAAAAAGCTAATTTCAGCTTTTTCCCAATAAGTAATACTATCTGCTGTTTGCAATAAATATATCATTTCCTCCTTTTTTTTTTAAAGGCCAAAAAAGTTTCATTTATAAATAATGCAATCAAACAAAACATAAGGCTGATTATAATATTAAAAATGCCAGTTACAAGTTTCTAATTTACAATGGCAAAGTATTCGAAAAGATCATTTCAAATATATCAAAAAGGAAACTTACAGTATTGTGGCTTATATTTGTGAGAGTCCATACCCATGCAACACTCAGAAAGGGAAAACTGAGCAGTATTAGGTGTAAGAGCAAAACAGCTATTGTGTATGATAGCCACATGCCTCGACTATTTAGCCATAGACTGTTTGGATTTACTTCGCTAGGTGTGCCTCCTAGCATCATCTTTAGAAGAATCTGAAGAGAAAAATAAGCCATATAATGAGGAATAAGTAAATAAAAAAGAATGACAAAAATCTTCTATATTTCCAAATACAGTATTACTGTTTAACGGAGCATTTAAAGATATCAAAAAGTAAAAGTTGCCTTCCAAAATGTTGTGCTGTAACATGCAGTTAATAATTTAATGGCAAATTTACAACAAAGTGGTAACTCACATCAATAAATAAGATAATAAATTTACATCAATAAATGAGAATTAAATATATATCAACCATCAGAATTTCTAACATACTTGTTAAAAAGGAGCATGATGAATGCAAAACATACACTGATGGCCATTAAAACTGCAACACTGTGAAGGAAAGCAAATATAAAAAATCTGATGTGTACACCACATGACTTCCTTGTACGGAATATTAAATTATATGCATTTTTTTTTTATTCCTTTTAAACTTATTAGATTAAATTAAACCTACTTCGCTGACAGCGCATAAACCACGCATTCTTTAAAATTCACTTTGTTTACCATAGCGACACTCTGGCGCTAGGTTTACTTAACATATATTTCGTTCATATTATAACTCAGAATGCACAAAATTTATATCATTTAACATATTAACAAGCCCACCCCTTGGAATGAAATGCTTTGAAAATGGTCGAGTTGTCAGACAACAAACCCCTCCAAAAAAAAAAAATCGCTTTCGTTTTCTGAAATCTCTCTAAGATGGCCCAGCCTAGGGCAGTATGTTTGCTTCCCCTTAGTGTGATGGATAAGCCATAAAATTGCCTCCCCGCTATTGAATGGCAAGAAGTACTTCTTGGCTTTAGTTTCATCTCTTCTCTTTCTTTGTACTTGTAGTTTGTAGACTTGTTTTTAATATGTGACGTCTGAATTTTCCGAAATCTTTTTAGGATGTTAGCTTCCAAGCTTGTAAATTTTTCAGTTATTCGACATGTTTTATTGCGCAGTATTTTAAGAAAGATCATCATTTATTTTGTTACACAATTTTTTTAACATTTACTTATATATTTTATTTAGTTTTAGTAGGCCAATTTACTTTGGGAAATTAAATTTTAATCCATTCTTTTCCCGACTCAGTTTTCATCACATTATAAGTCCATATATATTTACGATGAAAGTACAATATTTATCAGGAATTTTTGGAAAATTTGACATACGTATTTATATTTTAGCATTGAATTTTTTCCCCAAGTTGTTCGTTAACAGTCGAGCTCATCTTCGTAAACGCTTGATCTTTTCAGCATGGAATTGGCAAACAATAATCTTTCTAATGTTTTTTGGGATTTTACAGCAATTTCTAGAATTTTGGCGGTTTTCTACAAATATTTTGTTAAGTTTAGCTACTGTACAGTTGTTACTAATGTGGAATTTAAAACCAAAAATGTATTCCTTTCGTTGATTTGAGAGATCGCATTTCGAATTTAAACAGAAGTTTAAATGAATTTGATACAATCTGACCACAGACTAGAAAGAATTATTTCTCTGTGTTGGATGGATTTTCTCACTTTTCCGTATTTTATACATTAAATGCATAAAGCAGACACGCACAAAAATCCCTTTTGATTCTTACGGTTTCAGTTAAATGAATTGTAATATATATATATATATATATTTAAACTTTCAAAATGTATTTGCTCGTTTATGCATAAATTTAAAATCGTGGGACTTCCACTTAATTATATGACTAAATTGCAGTATTTAAGCTAATAACTGAAATTATAGTACTGAAATGACATAGAATATAAGAATAATCATAGTCAATTTAAATAAATTTATATTCTATTGTAGTCTATTTAAATAAATTTCTATTTTCATTTAAAATTTGTCATTATTAGCATCTCCCGCAGTTTTATGCAATCATAGGATTTTCCGAATTCTATTAGGTCCTTAGCATAATTTCAAGGCCTAATAGAAAAGTGATAATATGGAAAGACTATGTCTTAAGTACCAATAGCCAAGTATTTGTAATTAAAATAATTAAATAAAATAAATATTGAATACCAGCCGCTTTTTTATTTATTTTTAGTCATATAACAAAAGATAAACAAGAATACTATTACATCTAAGAATTATTTAGTAAATTATTTTGCTAATTTTATATGAATGAGGAAACATGGTAAAAATGTTTTAATGATTGAATTCACCGTTAAAAATCAAACAAACCCCAAAATTCCTTTTTCCCAAAACTGCGTAAAAAGTTTTGATTAAATATGATTTGAATGAGTTTTCCAATTCTGTTTTGAGTGATATAAATTAGGATATAAATATTATTAATTTGGGATATAAATAATTATTAGTAATAATTTTTATATTATAACTTAACAGAATATCGTTTACCGTTAAAAATTATATCTAAATTAAATTTTGTAAAAAGAATAAAAATGATAATTAACTGTTCCATTTTGTCCTTT